AGTTACATTAACTATTTCCCTACACTTCATTTTAAAAATGCAGCCACTACATCATTATCCAAAGTACATGTATGAAGACACGAATTGGTGTATACAACCAGAGATATGAAAAATTGTGCTGTATATGTGTAAGAACTGTAATGCATTCTGCTGTCATTTGTTTTTTTTTTTTTTAAATCAATAAAAAATTTAAAAAAATAAAAGAAACATTTAAGTTAAAAAAAATGCAGCCACTACACATTCTTTTCCTCAGAGATAAGCACTTGAAATTTTTATAGCTGATTAGTCCAGTATTTATACCTCCATATTTTTTCTCCAAATTTTCTAAGTATAGAATTCCAGGTTGAAATTTGAAGGCACTACTCAGCTGAGTTTTGGTTTCCAATGTTGGTATGAAGAAATTCAAGGGGTCCTTCATATGTAATTTGTTTGCATTTCTTTTTTTCTTTTTGGAAACAATGTTTAGAAATTTTACAACCAAATGTCTTAGTCTATTTTGATCCATTCCCCAAGTGTTTAATGGGCCCTATCAATCTGGAATCTTGTGCATTTCACTTCCTGGGACATTTCCTTCAACTACTTTTCTTGGATTTCCTCATTTATTTTTCTCTGTTCTCTCTCTCTGCCCTTGAACTCCTATTATTCAGATGTCAATCCTCCTAGGATAATTATACTTTAATTTTTGTTTTTGCTTTTCCATTTCTCTTTTGTACTTTCTAGAAAAATCCCTCAACTTTACCTTCCAGTGTTTCAATGAGTTAAGTCATTGATTTTTAAAATTTGAAGCAATCTATTGATTTTGCCACTCATACATGTTTCTGTAACTAAAAGTGACAGATAATTGACAAAGTATAAATTTCCTATGATTTGTAGAGTTCCTAGTTGTGTTTTTGGGAGGACTGTACTACTCCTAAAATGACATTTAAAATATTTTATGTAAAGTAAAAAAAACAGTCTATCTCTTGAATTTCTCAAGTATTAGGTTCAGAGGCTTTTCAGATATTTCAACATTGTTTCAAGTTTCATCACTTACAGATAAGAAGCCCCAGAAAACAATAATTTTCCACATCATTTATCAATGCATTATGTTGACAATAATGCTTTTATACATTTCATCTAAGTATAAAAAGACTGAAGTTTTCAGGAACGGTTTTAGTTTTAACACATAACCATTCTTTCATGTTTTTATTTGTACAAATGTCTAAGATATAGTTGTAAGAAAAATATTTGGCTCTTTTTCTGTTAAACAGAACATGCTTGGAATTTCCAGCCTGGCTTCCAAGTCTAACAGTATGAAGAGGTCACCAAGGCCAGTGAGGTTACCATCCTGACAAAGATGGAAGCATTTCAAAAAAGAATTGCATTATTTGGTAATAAATGACACTCGGCAACAAAATAAATACCACAAAATAAAGAGGCTGTCATTTACCTTTCTATGATATTGATACATATTGTGAGACTGTTCATTATTTTGTTCTTTTTAATCAGTCTGGCTGTCAGCACTTCAGTCAGTTTTCTTTTAATTCATTACTTTAGAAATGATTCTATTTCCACCATTTTTACTCTTATCCATTCGCTGTGACAAAATCATCTTTAAACTAAACAGGTTACAGAAAATTGATAAAATTTTAAGATCATTTTGGATTCTTCACATTTCTTTATTCTCTTAAGTCTAACCAGCTGCCAAGTACCACACAAATTTTGGTTTCAACATCATAGACCAATGGGTATGTATACTTTCAACAGATTCTGTTTCTACCTCTTGCCTCTCTTCCCTTCTAAATGATTCATGACATTCCAGTTTAGTCCATTTCTGTCTCAGTCCTCTGCCACCTCTAGCTGTTTCCTTCTCTACAATTTCTGCATTCAATTAAAACCCCATCCATTAGTTTCATAATGACTATTCAATTAAAAAAAAAAAAACTAGTTGGGCTCAGTGGCAGAGCCCTTAAGCCCTGCTATTTGGAAGGCTGAGGCAGGAAGATGAATTTGAAGCTAGCCTGGCAACAAAGGGAGACCCTATATCAAACCAAAAACAAACAAACCTAAGCAAACAAACACTTCTCTGCTCCATTTCCTAATTTCATCCACGCTGTATATATTTTCTCATGTTCTGTGGCTGTGTGAATTGCTGCTTAATACAGAATCTGGTGATTTTTCTTCTTCCGAAAATAATTCAAACTCACTTTTACTTGGAGCACTCTAGTCACAGATTTACCTTTTCAGTATCACCTAAACATTTTTTATTTCCTGCCCCCAAATACTTTTATCAAACACTTAGGTTATCATAAAATGATTATTTCCAACATAGAAAAAGCTAAATAAAAATTAACAAGCTTTGAAACAGAACTGGGGTCAAAAAAGGTTTCAGGTTAAAATACAGCATTCTGAAATCTTATTTTTTCATTTATCAAAAAATTTCTATTAGTGTACATTAAGGTAAGTGAAAAATTATTTTGAAAAACCATAGCAATATTCAGATAACTAATATATTACTAAGTGTGAAACAAAGAAAAATTTTATAATTTCAATAGTCTAAGATAAAAATACTATTAATGTTTTGTTATATTCCTAGTTTCTTTCCTATACTTTTAAGATTTGTTTTGGTTTTGTAATACACATAATCATAGTGTATATATATTTTTATTCTGCTCTAAGCATGTATTTATGGGGTGGGTGTATGGCCAAGTAGTAGAGTATGTGCTAGGTAGGCACGAAGTACATGGTTCAATGGGTTCAATCCCAAGCACCAAAAATAAATAACAAACAAACATTTTCTTGTATTGCTAAGCCTTCAAAATCTATTTTAAACACTGTGTTTGTATTTTAGTTAAAAAAATATGTACAGGGCAAAAGTTCAAATAGTAAACATAGGAATATAGTAAAAATTTAAGCTTGCCTCTCATTCTGTTCTCCCAATTTACTCCCTTAGAGGTAACAACTCTGTACCTTTTTGGGTATCCTTTAAGGAACAATCTGTGTATATGTAAGTTAATGTGTAAAATATGTCCCATCCCTTTCTCCCCATCCCCACATTGAAGCAAATTATACATGATGCTCTTCTTTCCCTTAATATATTTTTGAGATGTTAATTTTTTTATTTTAGTTGTAGATGGACACAATGCCTTTATTTACTTATTTTTTGGAATGTGGTGCTGAGAATTGAACCCAGTGCCTCACACATGCTAGGCAAGCACTATACCACTGAGCCACAACCCGAGCCCTATTCTTAAGATCTTTCCATATCAGAACTTATAGATTTTCTTCATTTAAAGGCTGAATAGTGATTCATTGCATGGAACCACTCTTCCACTCCATCTTTCTTCCTTTCTTTTTCTTTTTTTAATCACTGAAGAGTACTTTTTTTCCTTCCTATATACTCACCATATTTTCTCCTCATTCAAGAAAGAACATAGCACATTTTTTTTTTATTTAATGGATATAATACCTGTATTTTATTTATTTATTTACTTATTTTTTATGTATTTTTGGGGGACCAGAGATTGAACTCAGTGGCACATGGCCACTGAGCCACATCCCCAGACCTATTTTGTATTTTTTTAAAGAGAGGGATCTCACTGAATTGCTTAGCCCCTCGCTGTTTAGAGTCTGGCTTTGAACTCACAATCCTCCTGTCTTGAGCCTCCTGAGCTACTGGGATTACAGGCATCTGCCACTGTGCTGAGCTATTTGTTTATTTTTTTGTGGTGCTGAGGATTGAACCCAGGGCTTCACACATACTAGGCAATTGCTCTACCACTGAGGTTGAGCAATTGCCTAGCAATTGCCTGGGGTACACCTTTTTTTTTTTCTAATTAGTTATACATGAAAGTAGAATGCATTTTGACATATCATACATAAATAGAGTATAACTTCTCATTCTTCTAGTTGTACATGATGGAGAATTACATCAGTAGTATGCATATAGGGTAATAATGTCTAATTCATTCCACTGTCCTTCCTACCCCTGAACACTCCCCTCCCTTCACTCTCCTCTGTCTAATCCAAATTACCTCTGTTCTTCCCTAGCTGCACCGCTGCTGCCCACTCTGGCCACTGTGAAGTAGCATTGGCCATATCAGAGAAAACATTCAGACTGGCTTATTTTGCTAGCATGATATTCTCCAGTTTCACCCATTTACTGGCAAAGTCCATAATTTCATCCTTCTTTAAGGCTGAGTAACCACTATTTCCTAACCCACTTATTGATAATTAGATTGTTCTAAGGCTTTCGCTCTTTGCTAACATGCACAAGTCAAATAGTAGGACAAAGCCACAGTAAGAAATTTCTGGCCAGGTCAATTTAAGATTTTTATGGATATTGGCAAATTGTCATTCAACGAAGTTGTACCACTTTATCCAACAACATATGAAAATGCTTCAAAAACACTATTTGCAAAAACTGCCACTGGCACTTTTCAGTTAATTATCCAAAAGCTTTAAAGAAAGGGGGGAAAATACAAGGCCTTTAAAGAGATTCTAACATACCTACATGTTTTTCTCAACTTTGGTTGAACATGCAAACACTGCACTTTGTTAAAATATGCAAACCCTGACAATAAAATGAAAACCAGTGTTCACATCTCAAGGATTTAGAAGGATGCTTGTTTATGGAAAGTCTTACTTGAGGCATCAGAAAAGGGAAGAAGCGTCAGTTGTAAGACAGTGCAGCTGCCCAACACTACCAAATGGAAGGTGTTAGAGCTCCTGGAGCATAATCCCTTAGTTGGTATTAGCACTTTTTTTTTTTTTGCTGGTTATATGAAAAGACAGTGATTTCCCCCAATTTAAAAAAAGACAAACAAGATAAACAACAAAAAGGAAAAAATCCTACATATTAAAAAAATCCTACATAAAAGTAGCCTTTTAAATATTTTTGTAAAGACATGATAGAGCATACAGACATTTTAGAGATAATTTTATATTATAAACATTTGTTCCTTTGTCTAATATGAAATGTTTTCTTCACTGAGGTGCTACCTCACCTCATGAGGATCAGGTGAACCCAATTAACCCAATTTTAACTTGTCCCTACTAAGTGTTTTATTTTAGATGTACACTGCTCCCTAAGTCCTTTAGGGTACTATATGGAAAAACTATAAACAGGCTAAAAAGGTCATGACATTAATTTTGCTGTCATTTTCATGCCTTAAGTAGGCATCAAAAACTAGAAGAACCTTGTCCTGTGGGAAGGAGGGTAAATCTGAAACTAATTATAGTAGTTATCATAATAATACTATTACAATTAAACACTATGACCCTAGCTAAATATATTTTGGTACCTTTTGCTAATGAATACAATTTTTCAAATAAGATTATTAGAGTCCTAGGTAGAGCAAAATGGTTCACCAGAGGACTAGTAGAATAAAGTAACCACTCAAAAGCCTGAATTTTCATTCACCTAAAGCTTAGCTAGAAGGCTTAATGTAATAAACTTAGCATAGCTGGATTCTTTTGCAGAAAATGCTATACTTGTTACAAGACTTTATTTAAGAAGGAAAAACTTCTAATTTCGCATGGGTAGACCACTACATGAAAAGTCACATCTGCCACGGTTCACTGCCGACTTAGGAACAGATTTCACTTATTTTCTATTGTCATATGCTTCTCCTGTTTTGTCAACTGAGGATTTGTTTATAAGCACTATTATTTAAACCTAAAAGAAAATAAAAGGGGAAAATATCTCAATATTTCAGTAGCTTCTTTCTGTTCTTAAGGTTTTAAGAATCGAACTGCTTTATGTGTCTGGAAGACAAGATGGTCTAGCAGCAACATTTAAGCTTAGTGATTTCCTGCTAATTCAGGTTCCAACCACCTTATAACATCTAGCCTGAGCACCAGTGGGATGGTTAACCATCTGATTAGCAGGTGAGTAGTATTCACTGTGTAGTTCTCTAATGCTAGGAAAGCAACGGTATTTCCACACAGATGTTGATGGCTCACTTTGACCCTTACAAACCCTGGAGAATAGAGATGAGGGCCAAGGCCAGGAATGATGAGTCTGAGTGGGCAGGGAAGAAAGGAATATTATTAGTCAAGGAGGTCTGTCAACATTTGTTTAAGACTAATGAGCAGAGGAAAAAAATGAAATGTAGCAATCAGGAAGGAAAGAAAAAGAAAGTGGGAGGAAAAAGGAGCAATGGCAACATTACTTTAAAAGGAGAAATAGCATGTGAAGAAAAAAATCCTTAAATTCTAGTTTAAATATTTTAGAAGTCACAGAAAATCAGCCAAGAACTAGTCCTTCAGGTCCCTGTTGAAGTGAAAAAGGATGTATACAGTACTTCTTGTGCATTGCTAAAAGCCTTGATAATCAACATCTACTAATTAGTGTAAATGTTGCTGATCAAAAGCAACAATATCAAAGTGGAATGAAGGGAAGAGGGGGAACAGGAAGAGGAAAGACAGTAAAATGAATTGGACATTACTTTCCTATGTGAATATATGATTATCCGACCAGTGTAATTCCACATCATGTACAACCAGAGGAATGAGAAGTTATACTCCACATATGTATAATATGTCAAAATATATTCTACTGTCATGAATAATTAATAACAACAACAATCCCCCCAAAGCAATCATATATTAAAATTTAAACTGTGATAAAGTCAAATACTTTAAGAACATATTTTATTTCTCTAAATTTGAAAGTTAACCTTGGAATAAAAAATTTGAACTGTTTGTTTAGAGGTATTAACTGAATATGAAGCATTATCATAGAGGAAAGATGAGAAAAAAAAGAATGCACAAGGCAACAGAGCACCACTTTCTTCTTGTAAGGATTTCTACAACAGTTCATCGTAGATTATCAGGGATTCCAACTTGGACATGTTTAGGAACACTTTCCTGATCCTTTATCTTCATATATTTGACAATGCTTCCATAATCAATTTCTTTATAAATCCACATTTCAAACTACAATTTGTAGTCCAAATGTGTACATTTACATGTTGGATGATGAAGCAACATTCTCAGTTATTGTATCAAAAAGTGATTTTATAATTATCTAAATATTTCATTACATTTTGTTCTTATTATTTTAGAAAAATTAGTTGAGATGAATAGTCTAATATAAATGTAGTATGATACCAACAACCTAGGCAAAATAAAAACAGATAAAATTTCTGTGCATCAAAGGGCACAATCAGGAGAGGGAAGAGGCAACCTATAGAATGGAAAAAAATATTAGCAAATTATAATAATCATATCAGATGTTAATATCAAGAATTTATAAAGAAATCTCATGACTCCACAACAACAAACAATCCAATTTAAAAATGAGCAAAGGATCTGAATAGTCATTTCTCCAAAGATGGCATGCAAGTAGTCTGCAAATATATTAAAAAGATGTCCAACACTACCAATCATTAGGAAAATGTAAATCAAAACCACAGTCACTTCCTTGAAACTCATTAGGAAGGCTATTATTAAAACAAAACCAAAAACAAACCAAAAAATGAGTGCTGGTGAGGATATGGAAAAGATGGAACTCTTATCCACTGCTGATGGAAATGTAAAATGGTCAACCACTATGGAAAACGGTATGGCAGTGGTTTAAAATTAAAGTTAGAAATGCCATATGATCCAGCAATTTGACTTTTCAGTTTATGTCCAAAGAGGTGAAAGCAAGATCTTAAAGAGATACAAGCACACCCATGTTCTAGCAGCATTATTCACAATAGCCCCAAGGTGAGTCAATCCTAGGTCTAACAACAGTATGGATAAACAAAACACACATACAACAGAATAATATTCAGCCTTACGAACCTTGAGGTCATTATGCTAAATGAAGCCAGTCACAAAACAACAAATGTTGTATGATTCTACTCATCTGAGGTATCTCATACAAACAGAAAGTAGAATAGTGGTTGCTATGGGCGGGGGACAGGAGAAACAGGGAGTTGTTGTAGAGAATTTGAGTTTTATGAGATGAAAAGCTGTTTGTTTTCACAACAGTATGAATACACTTAACACTCCTGAGGAGTACACTTAAGAATGGTCAAGATGGTAAATTTTATGTTTTTTTTTTAAACTGAAATAAAGAGAAAATGTAATTATGCATAGGTCTCATAAACATAATTAAGCAAAAATGGCAATCATTGAAGATTTTTATTAAACTGTTACTGGAAGCACATTTGATTTAAGTCAGGTGTTATATGTGTCCAATCACAAAGAAAAATAAAATAATTAAAAAATATTTATAAATGATACATCAGATATTATATTAAAAAGAAGGAATTACATAATGTTTTTGGGTAAGAGGGTATCTTCTTATATAGCATAGGTCTATTTTTTTTTTTTTTTTTACTTTTTTACACTGCATTTCCATGTTGTTAGTTTTATGTTTCTGTGACCAAAATGTCTGACAAGACCAACTCATGGTTTCAGAGATTCAGTCCATGGTAGGCTGACTCCCATTGCTTTGGGACAAAGATGGGCAGAACACCAGGGTGGAAGGGCTGCAGCAGAGGAAAGCTGTTCACCTCATGGCAACTGGGAAACACAAAGAACAAGGACAAGGGGCCAGAGGGCAGATGAACTCACCAGGGCACATCCTCAGTGATCCACTTTCTGTAGCCATGCCCCTGCCTACAATTACTACCCAGTCAGTCCATTCAAACTGGGATGAAATGATTAAGTTATATCTCTTATAATTTTTTCACCTCTGAATATTCCAGCATTAACACAGGAGCTTTTCAAGGACACCTCATATCTAAACAATCACACTTGTAATTTTTGAGGAACATATTTTGTACAAAATTAAGTATTATAAACGGGAAGTACAAACCTAGGGCTCAGAGGTCTAAAGCTATGAACACTGCCACTCTCAAAACTGGATCTGGTTCATTTCTTTCTATATCCCCTAAACAACTAGCACCCTATCTTCCCTGGTTAGCTCATTAGAAAGTCAGGATTTTTTCAGGTAATCTCTTTTATATTAGCAGCTGACAAAAAGACCCAGTGTTATAGAAAAGAGCTTCAATGAATAACATTCTCAGCTCCAGGATGGTTCTGGTAGGTTCTCACCCTCTTTCAATCTAATACCACCCCAGGCAACCCATATTCCCCACACTCTGGCACTCTCAGAATTAAGTTGGAAAAATCAAGTTAATCCATATAGTTTCAGATTAAAACAATCCAATTAAAAAATAGTATAAAAGAAATTAGCTATAAGCCTTTAAATTAGCTTTGAGATTTAAGTAGCAAGTCTATTTATTCCTGTACTCTCTAAGATCTGGTTATATGCATAATACCAACAGTGAGACAAGCAGACATGGATGAAAGGTGTGGGAGGCAGTGCTCTGGGGCACCCAGGGACTTGTGGGATTGCTTCTGGAACATTTGTTACACTTAAAGGATTTAAAATGCTGACAAAGACTTTTCACCCACAGATTGTATTATCTTACAATAATATAGTATGAAACCTGAAATTGAAATATGACTAACAAGAAATCTCTTTTCATTTTGTCATACAATCTTAAATACCAATATCACAAAACTGGCTGCTGGTGTAGATTCACTCAGCATTAGGTTTTTCTATAAATGACTGGGTGACGAGGGCAGTTTATAAAAATGTAACAGCATATAAAAATAAAAGGATAACTAGGTATAATGGCATATGCCTATAATTTCAGCAACTTAGGGGGCTGAGATAGGAGGACCACAAGTTTGAGGCCAGCCTGGGTAACCCAGCAAGACACTGTCTCAAAATAAAAAAGGCTTTTGATAGATTCAGTCCCTAATCCTGAATAAACAGATAAATAGGTAGATGATTTCAAAAGAAAAAACTTATTTTGGTGGTAGCTTCTGGAAAGGGGAAAACTGAGAGGTATATTTGGGAGGGAAACTGATTTTCCACTGTAAACCCTATTGTAAGCCTTTCAAATGTTCTACGGTGCAGATGTAAAACTTCACATTATCAACATAAAAAGAACAGGAAGAATAAAGTAGATCTAGAAATATAGGTGGTTCTCAATGAATAGTTGCAGAGAAAGAGGTCCATAAAATAATCTTAAGTGAAAAAAGCTATAGAGGGGCTGGGGTTAGGGCTGGGGCTCAGCAACAGCGTACTTGCCTGGCATGTGTGAGGCACTGGGTTCGATTCTTAGTAAATAAATAAATAAATAAAATAAAGGTCTATCAACAACAAAAAATATTTTTAAAAAAAGGTGTAGAAGAGGTATGTTCTAATCCAATGTGTCTTGAAAAGAAAAAAAAATAAAGGTATGTTCACATAGAGAAATGTCAAATTGTCAATAGTGATTACTTTTGGGGCTTGGTTGGTGGGACTTCCCATTTTTCTTTGCACAATATACATATATGTATGTGTTTATGTGTGTACACACTGTATATGTATAACTAACATATAAATGTAATTAGATAATATAACAGTCATTCAGTGCATAATGACAATTGGTTAACAAACTGCATACATGACAGTGGTTACATGATTGTGATGGAGCTGAACAATTCCCATTGCCTAGTGACGTCACAGTCATGCTTACATGCCATGTGTTTGTAGAGAGCTGAGTGCTGCTGGTGTAAACAAACCTACTGTGCTGCATATAAAAATACTGCACACATAATTATATATTGTATAAATACTTGATAATGACAAATAACAATGTTACTGGTTTCTGTATTTACTATACTATACTTTTAATGGTTATTTTAGAGCATAATCCTGCTACTTATTAAAAAGCAGGAGGCATTGTTATTATAGGCATTGTTATTATTATTCCCCTTGAAGACCCATCAGTGGGATAAGATGTAGTAGAGTTGGAGACAGAAATGACTGATGATCCTGACCCTGTGTAGACCTAGGCTAATGTATATGTTTGTGCCTTAGTTTTAACAAAAAAGTTTAAGTAAAAAAATTAAAATTAAAATTAAAAAGAGAAAAAGACTCATAGAATAAGGATGTAAAATCAGGATATATTTTTGTTTGGCTCTACAATTTGTGTTTTAAAGGGAGTTATTACAAATACCTCAAAAAGTTAAAAATAATTACCAAGTTCACAAAGTAAAAAAAAAAAGTTACAGTAAGCTCAGGGTAATTTATTATTGAAGAAATAAAACTTTAAAAAAATAAATTCAGTGTAGCCTAAATGTACAGTGTTTCTAGTCTACCACAGTGTACAGTAACATCACAGGCATTCACATTCACTCACCACTCACCGCTTGCTCACTCACCCAGAGCAACTTCTAGCCCTGCAACTGTATTCATGATATAAGTGGTCCATTTTTCATTTTTACTGTTCCTTTTCTAAGTTTTTGTGTTAGTCCATTTTTTGTTGCTATGATCAAAATACCCAAAAAGAACAATTTAGAGAAGAAAATTTTTATTTGGGCTCATAGTTTCAGAGGTTCAGTCCATGGTCAGTTAACTATTGCTCTGGGCCATAGGTGAAGCTGAATATCATGGCGGAAGGGTGTGGTAGAGGAAAGCTGTTCACCTCATGGCCAGGAAGCAGAGAGAGAGAGTTAAGCATCAAGGCAAAAATGTAAACTCCAAAGGCACTCTCTCAGTGACCTATTTCCTCCAGCCACACTCTACCTTCCCAGTTATCACCCAGTATAGCAGTCCTTTCAAATGATTACTCTAGCATATGGATTAATCCACTGATCAGACCTCTCATAATCTAATCATAAGATTTTGGGGGACACTGTGTATCCCTGAATAATTTGTGTATTTTAACACACAAATACCACTGTGTTACAACTGCCTACAGTATTAAGTACAGTAACATGCTGTACTGGTTTGTAACTTAGGAGCAACAGGCTATACCATATAGCTAGGTGTGTGGTAGGACACACCTAGCTATAGGTGTATAAGGATACTATGATGTTTTACAACAATAGTGCCTCATGACATATTTCTCAGAAAGTATCCCTGTTGTTAAGGCAAGTATTTGTATGAAACTACACAATTGTCTGTTTTATACTCAAAACAATAAGCAACTGTTCAAAGGGGGAGAACCTTTAGTAAGAATCTACTTTAAAACATTTTTGTTCAAGAAAGATAAATAGTTATATTGATTTTCAAGTAGTAATTAAACTAAATGGAAGCCTTTTCTCACTTTTTCTATATTCCTCCTTCCAATTTCACAGTGTTCATTAGATTCAATAAATAAATTTTTTGGCAAAATCAAACACATGAAGTCCATTCATCAACTATTTAATACAGGAATTGAGAAGACTGTGCCTGTAGGAGTAAGAGGGGCAATATGTATAATTTCTTAAAATTGCTTCAAAACTTTTTCTGAACTACAAATAATTTCAACTTAACAGACTAAAAAATCAGCACAAATTCAAAAGAAAAAAATATTTTAAAGAAACAAGATTCTGACTTACTCACATTATTTATTCCATGTTTTTATATGTTCCCTTTGCATAATTTAATTCTTTTTCCAACACCAATCATACTTAACATTAAATATCTGACTTTCTCAACAGATTCAAAGCTCTATAAGGGTAAGGTCCACATGTCATGTTCCCATAAGTCTCAGGACCTGGAAGAAGAATCTTTCAAACTTATCCACTTTTGAAGATATAAACTTGAGCAAAAGAAGACACAAGATTTTGCAGATATTCAATGACAAAATACTTCCTAATAATGATTACATAACTCAGCAAACAACAAGACCCACATCGAGTTAAAAATATTCTAAGGATGGAAGAAAAGGTTATTTATCTAAATGATCAGTGTGACAAAATTAAAGCACATGTTCTCTAAGTACAAATGCCAAAGGCTCTAGAGTTTTGGCTACCTTAGGTTCTGAGTCATAAAGTCAAAGCCTTAAAAAACCTAACAAGTAACTCTTGAAACAGAAGCATGCTATTACAGTCTTAAGGTATGTTATCTTTGCAAAGTTCTTATTGACTATCTCAGAATTCATTACATTAAAAGAAAAACTTTTAAAAGGAACTAGGGGATAGCAGATATCCTTAAACAACACATATACAGGTTATGACAATTCTCAAGAGGAATCTAAATCATAATACCCTTCAGTGAATGTGTATAATTTTTGACATATCTTTACTTCACCAATCCATAAACACTGAATTAAGTCTACTCATAAACTTGTATTCCAGTTTTAAGAGAATTTTACCCAAGGTGAAAAGTTATACTTTTAAAAAAAAATCAAATCAAAACAAAAGATTTCTGGCTATAAAGATGGCTAATTAAAGTCATGTTTTATTATGCAAGCATACACCTTTCTGTCAAAACAGGAAGGGTAAAAGGTATGAACTTATTCATTAATTAGCAGGCTAATAACTCCACAGAGCAGGAATTGAAAAACGTCTTCTGTAAAGGATCAGTTAGAAAATATTTTCAGTTTTGTAGACCCTATGGTTGTTGTCACTACTCCATTCTGCTGTTGTGGCATGAAACTGGCAATAGACAATATAAATGATATTAAATTCCAATAAAACTTTATTTATGAATACTGAAATATAATTTTATATCATTTTCATGCATCAAAAAACCTTCTTTTGTTTTTTTAATAATTTAGAAATGTAAAAACCATTCTTTGCTTGTAGGTTACACAAAACCAATTTGGTCTGCAAGCTATAGTTTGTTAAACCTTATCCTAATCCAAGAGTTCAGTAAACCTGGTTTATACAACTTACTAGCCACATGACCTTGTCCTTACTCCACCAAAATAAAACAAAACAAAAACAAATACAGAAATCCCCCCCAAAAACCAAAACAACAACAAAAAAACCCCACCAACATTAAGCTCTTAATTTCCAGTAGGAGTTGGAGACCTGTGCTACTGGTATAAAAACAGTAGCAGAAACTAACTTTTATTTTGATATTATAGTGTTGCAAACTGTTCTAAGCATTTTATTGAATGCTAATTTATTTAATTTTCTTCATAGCAATAGGATGAGTATTTAATGAATCCCATTTTACATATAAGAAAATTTAGGCACAGAGAGGTTAGGTAAATTATTGAAGCTCACACTGCTAGTAAATGTATAGATGATGCTTATAGACAGGTACAGGGTTCTGTTCTCTAATTTTAAAATTTCTCCATTCTTAAAGTTCCCATTTCAAATGCCAATTCTCAGAAATTAAAATGCATAAGAGAATAAGAACATGGAACAACACGTAAGATAATTATAGCTCATCAATAATGTAGAGCTAATCTTTGGATTGTGCCTGTACTGACCCTCATTGTTATACAAAATTACATATAAGAGGTTGTGAGGGGAATGGGAAAAAAAAAACAAGGAGAGAAATGAATTACAGTAAATGGGGTAGAGAGAGAAGATGGAAGGGGAGGGGAGGGGGGATAGTAGAGGATAAGAAAGGTAGCAGAATACAACAGTTACTAATATGGCATTATGTAAAAATGTGGATGTGTAACCGATGTGATTCTGCAATCTGTATTTGGGGTAAAAATGGGAGTTCATAACCCACTTGAATCTAATGTATGAAATATGATATGTCAAGAGCTTTGTAATGTTTTGAACAACCAATAAAAAAAATGTGGCATATAAAAAAAAAAAAAACAAAGTCGATTCAAATGGATGGGCACTTCATTCAGCATTCTCATGGAAAATTAGGAACAGTACCTGACTCCTTCTAGTTTGTGCTGGCTCATGAGAACAAATGTTGGTGCAAATGCCCCAAAAGAGAAAGTTGCACAGGCAGGGCACTATTATTTTTTCTAAATTACTCTTCATTTTTTCTAATTTAAGTTTCCCTCAAGTTTTTGTTGTATACAAAGGACATTTGTAGATTTATAATGTTTGTCTGCCACTGACACATTAACAAAAAAACACTAATAATCAGGGAGATACCCTTCTTATAACAGCTACAATATAACTTAAATGTTTAACAACCCACTTGTGCACATTCTGGTTTTTTTTTTGCACAGGGTCTTTATCTGTCTGTTGGTTCCGTGTGTGCTGGCATTCCAAATCTAGTTAGGATTTAACTAGCCCAATGACTAGTTAGGGGTCATCTGAAAAAAAATTAGTTTATTTCAACATAGTGTTCAATTGCCAAATTTGCTTTTAGAACTTAAAAAAAAATGGTATCACTTCCACCTAACTACAGAATAAAAACATCACTTGAAGAACTTGACATTTTAGGACTTTGGTCATGGAAATAAGAAATTACTAAAACTGAATTGATTCCAGATATTCCTCATTGGAAGGTAGTTATATGCCAGAAAATCATTTTAGAGTCTGTTTTCATTACTTACATCAATATGAGGAAACTTAAATGACAGATGATCTCTAGAGCACTGGGCCAAGTACATCATAATGATACGGAGGTTGTAGACTAGGAAAAAGAGACTCTCAGAAAAAAAAAAAATTTCACCTGGCAAATATTTAAAAATCTAATTTTCTCAAATTTGTATTTTTCCAAAAATGTTTGTTATCAGTATACTGCTTAATTCTATATGTGACTGCCTTGGTAAAAAAGAGGTATTTCTCAATAGAAGACAAAAGATCATTCATGTTACTTGCAATTTTTTAAAACAATATGAATAGTGAGGGGAACTCTCTGCTTTAGAAATAGCCCTTCAACTAATTTACTTTCAGAACATTTCAGCCATGCCTTATACATGTTCTCCTTTACTTCCACAATTTTTATAAAATTATGTCAATTTTATCTCCAAAAAAGTCCTCAGATGGCTGGGCATGGTGGCTCACACCTGTAACCCCAGCAACCTGGGAGGCTGAGGCAGGAGGATTACAAATTATCAATCAGCTTCAGCTACTGAGTGAGGCCCTAAGCCACTTAGTGAGACCCTGTGTCAAAATAAAACAAAAAGGGCTAGGGATGGAGCTCAGTGGTAAAGTGCCCCTGAGTTAAATCCCCAGTACAAAAAACCAAGTTCTTAGATATGTCCACTTCTCCTCATCTCCTACCTGGTGCAAACTGCTATCTCATGCCCTCCCTAGACCACTGAATATTTTTAACTGGTCACCCTAGCTTCCAATCCTGCCTCTTCTCTAACCAACACAACCACAATGATGTTTTCAAAACAAAAATTAGAGCTTACCACCCCCCTAGACACCATAACGGTCTATCGGGACTTGTAGTCTAACCTGGACCTGCTTCATCTTGTACTCCTTGCCTCTCACTTGGAATCAAAGACATACCAGACTTTTCTCAGTTTCATGAACATACCCAACATTTTCCCAACAGTTTTTATACATGTTGGACCCCTTCTCTGTATTGTTTCCTTCCTTCTCCCCTTTTATGCCTTGATATCCTGGATGCATCCTTCAAATGTGTTATTAATCAGTTTCCCATTGCTGTGACAAAATACAAAAATCAACTTAAATGAACAAAGATTTATTTAGGTTCACAGTTTCTGAGGTTTTCAGACCAGTTGCTTTGGGGCCTGTAGTGAGGAACTATATCATGGTAGTGGGAGCACATGGCAGAGGAGACTGTTCACCTCATAGTGGCCAGGATGCAAAGAGAGAAGAAGGAATCAGGGTTCCAATATTCCCCTGAAGGGCATGCCCCAGTGACCTAACTTCCCCTCACTGGGCCCCATCTCTCGAAAGTTTCCACCACTTCCCAACAGTGCCACAAATTGACAACTAAACAAGCAAGCCTTTTGCATATGGGCCTTTGGGAGACATTTAAAGATTCAAACCATAATGAGATATCAAGGCAAAATCATTACCTTAGGAGAACTGTCCCTGGCCTATTCTGGTTCAGATATTGTAAACAGTTTCAGTGAACCCTTTATTTTTCCCTTATAGTAGTTACCACAACTGTGATTCTAAACTCCTCACAGACAAGAAGCTCTAGAAGGGCAAGGATTCACATGCCTTTGAGTTCACATGGTACCCTAAATATCTGGCACAGTAACAGAAAACCTGGAAAGAACTCAGTATTCATGCTTGTGATATAATTCATGTACCATAAAATACAACCTTTTTATATCTAGGCATAGAATAGATATATTCCATATGGGTATAAGATATAGGCTAAGTCATAGGAAACTCTATATTTAAACTTTGAAAAAACGTTTCCAAAGAAGCTTTCCATTTATATCCATGCCAGTAACACATGTGGATTCCAATTTCTACATATTCTTACTAATACTTGTTTTTGTCCATTTCTTGATTATGTAGTATTTGACTATAGTTATTCCTTAATGACTAATGATGTTGAATATTTTCCGTGTGCTCACAAGCAATTTATATATATAAGTTGATCCAATTCCTTTGTCCAGTTTTTAATTATTTTTTTCCTTTCTCTTTTTGGGTACTAGGGATTGAACTCAGAGGTGCTTTATCACTGAGCTACATCCCCAACCCTTTTTATTTTAAGACAGGGTTTCACTAAGTTACTTAGAGACTTGGTAAGTGGCTGAGGCTGCTCACAAATTTGCAATCCTCCTGACTCAGCCTCCCAAGTTGCTGGAATTACACGCATGTGCCAATTCTTTGCATGTAAATCTCCATTTGTTCCAGGATCACTGGTTGAAGACATTATTTTTTCCCATTGAATTGCATGTGTTGAAAATCAGTGTACCATAAATAAAAAGGTTTATTTTGGGGCTCTTAATTCTATTATCTATATGTCTATCCTTATTTATAAGTCATGAAATTGAGCAGTATGAGAACTGTATATTTTTCTTTTTAGACTGTTTCAGCTATTATAAGCCCCCTGTATTTCCATATGAATTTTAGAATCAGCCTATAAATTTCTGCAAAAAGGGGCTCTACAGATTTCCATACAGATTGTGCTGAATAAGTAGATCAGTTTGGGGAGTACTGTCATCTTTATAATGTTACATTTCCCAATTAAAGAACATGGAGAAGTCTTCCCATTCACTTATATCTTTAATCTCTGAAAACATTTTCTCTTCTGTTTTTTAGAAAAGTTTTGGTGTACAAGTCTTGCACTTCTTTTGTTGAACTTATTCTCAGTATTCTTCTTTTTGGTGCAACTCTCAGTGTAACTGTTTTCTTAATTTGATTATTCACTGTTTGTGTATATAAATGCAACTGGTTCCATACTGACCACATATCTTTCAACCCTGCCAAACTCATTATTATTAGTACTACCTGTTTTTCAGTGAATTCCTTAAGATTTTTTTTATATATAAGATCATGTCCTATACAAATAAAGATAGATTTATTTTTTTCCTTTCTAATATGAGTGACTTTCATTCTTTATCTTGCCTGACTGTCCTGGTTAGAACCTTCAATACAATGCTGAACAGAAGGAGAAACAGAACAAAACTGTGTCTTGTTCCTAATCTTAGTACAATGTTAACTACAAGGTTTTCATAATTTCCATTTATCAGGGTGAAAAAACTACTCCTAGTTTTTTCATTGTTTTTATGATAAAAGGAACTTAGATGTTGTCAAGTGCTTTCTCTATGCCTAGTAAGATGTCATGTGATATCAGAATGCATTTTGATTCACTGTAAACAACTGAAGCACAAGTTTACATTTCTATGATTGTACATGGTGTAGTATCACACCATATGTACAGTCATACATATACTAGGGTAATGATGTACATCTTATTCTACCATCTTTCCTGCCCCCATGCACCCACCCTATCCTCCCCTTCCCTTTGCCCAAAGTTCCTCCATTTTTCCCATGCCTCCCTCCCTGAAATGAATCAGCAACCACTTATCAGAAAGAACATTAGGCCTTTGGTTTTTTTGGACTGGCTTACTTTGGCATGATATTCTTCAAATCCATCCATTTACCTGCAAATGCCATATTTTGTTCTCTTTTAATGCTGAGTAATATTCCATTGTGTATATATACCATAGTTTCTTTATCTACTCATCTATTGAAGGGCATGTAGGTGGCTTCCACAGTTTAGCTATTGTGAGTTGAGCTACTATGAACACTGATGTGGCTGCGTTACTATAGTATGCTGATTTTAAGTCCTTTGAGTATAAATTGAGGAGAGGGATAGCTGGGTCAAATGATGGTTCCATTCCAAGTTTTCTAAGGATTCTCCATACTGCTTTCCATATTGGCTGCACCAATTTTCAGTCCCACCAGCAGTGCATGAGTGTACCTTTTCCCCGACATCCTCGCCAACACTTATTGTTGTCTGTCTTCATGATAGCTGTCATTCTAACTGGAGTGAGATGAAATCTTAGTTTTGATTTGCATTTCTCTAATTACTAAAGATGTTGAACATTTTTTCATATATTTGTTTATCAAGTGTACATCTTCTGATTAGTGTCTGTTCAGCTCCTTAGCCCTCTTATTGATAGGGTTGTTTGTTTTGTTTGGTGTTAAGTTTTTTGAGTTCTTTACATAACCTGGATATTAGTGATCTGACATATGTATGGTAAAAATTTGCTCCCATTCTGTAGGCTCTCTCTTCACTTCACTGATTGTTTCTTTTGCTGAAAAGAACTTTTTAGTTTGAGACCATCCCATTTATTAATTCTTGATTTTATTTCTTGCGCTTTAGGAGTCTTGTTAAGAAAGTTGGGGCCTAATCTGACATGATGAAGATTTGGGCCTACTTTTTCCTATTAGGCATAGGATCTCGGACTAATTCTTGAGATATACCCCATTTGGT